ACCAGCTTCATTGCATTTCACCTTATACACCCAGCGACTACGGATAACTATCTTCCCGGGTGGCAGGTTACACAGTTCCTAAGTACCATTTTCCATGTGCGACTGGAACTCGTCTTCCATCGTTTGCTTCCACGAATCCTTTTCAGGACACCTTACCGCCTCACCGTAGTTCGCTGGTTCAGCCATCAACTGCGTAGAAATGCACACTACGAAGTCAGAATAGCGATCAGGCAACTTTCCGCGTTCAGTTTGTTCACTTTTCATCGTCAGAGGGTCGTCCAGCAAAAACAAATCACTCAAATAAAAATAATGTTCAGATTCACTCTCTCCACCCTCCGATCTATCAGAACACTCATCTTCCGTTAGCTCTCTATCACTTTCAATCGGCTCCGCTTCAAGATGATGGTCTTCACTAATTAGGATTGGGCGATCTTCAGAGAAAGATCGATTTTGACGGATCGATCTTATATTGAGCTCTAAAATCTATCCACTTATTAAATCGGTACCAAAGAATCGATGTTTGGTAGATCGATCTTATGGTTTTTATTTTAATTGATCTTTCTTGACGTTGATAACTCACAAACTTGCGTAATCCCATTTTCAAGTGCTTAGTTTGCTATCCTCACTTTCGCTTTAGCCAATTGTTTGTTATTGTTATCCTCACTTTCGGACCATCAATACTCAAAACCTGAGTGGTGCGAAGTGAAATTTTCTTCATGTTGGTAGTGTTGAAATAAACGTTTCATCACCGTCGGTTGGTAGAGAGAAGTGTCAAACGGCTTTTTATGCAGAGCCGATTCGTGACTTTGTGATTGTTTGTTGACATTGTTCATAGCTGGAGTTTTTACGGAGTGGAATAAAATTCAGAATGAAGTGTTTTGCTCACTTTTGCAATTATAAAGATGGACACGACGAAAAGCGAAGCCTATTCAGGTTTCCCAAGGATTCAGCAGTACGAAAAGAGTGGCTCAGTTTCTGTGAGGTGGATCTCAATTTTCAAATCAAACCCAGTGACCGGTTGTGCAGTATTCATTTTGATAAAAATTGTGTAAAACATCTGAATTCAGTTGCTTATCGTGATAAAAATGCAATCCCTACACTGCGAACATATGATGATGGTCCATTTATCAGTGAAACAATTGACGAAAGTTTATGCTGGATCCTCATTTAATCTCATCCCTGTTTTGCTTCTGTCTGCAAAATAAACTTTTCATTTCAGGGAAGTCAAGAACGAATAAAACCCTGAAACATCCTCTACCTGACTTGCAATCAAACATAGTAATTTTCATTTGTATAAATTGTTGCAAATCAGATGCAAATTTAATGTGGCCGATGATATCTATGGAAGTGCTGTCGAAATTCCCTGGGACCTCCAATGGCAACGATTTGACTTCCCTCCAAATCGTGTGAAACTCGAACATGAAAACTCTATAGAACCCCCGTAGAACCTCGCTGGCAGCAACTAAAATATCCACTGAAACCTCTTCTGTCGCGGGAAAAATCTGTTGAAATTTCTAGGAACTTTTGTACTATCATCACAAATCTCCTTAGAACGTTCTCCGAAGTCGTTCCTGAGCGAAAAAAAATCGGAGGGGTTTTTTCAGCGCAGGAGTCTACTTTGGTCCAAAATACGCAATAATACTGTTATTTTTAATTGTTTGAGTCGTTTCGAATCACGTTTTTAAAAAGATCAAAAACATTACTGAAAAATATTTATTTTTTATTTTGGACGATAACAATACTTCTATCTATTTCAACGAACCACAATGATAAAAAAGTGGTTCGATTTGACAGCTCGAAAGTGGTTCGATTTTGAGGTCCGTCTTCGCACCACTCAGCTCAATACCATATAGAATGGACTACCACTTGTTTACGTTGGTACCCCAAGAAATTCTTTCCTTTATAATACTCAATTAAATGTTGTCGTGGCGGTAAGAAGTAATGAGCAAAGAAGGAGGGAGATAGGAAAAACCTTCAAATGTTGAAGAGCTTTGCGTGGGTTGGTTTATTTCCTTTAAATTCCGTTATAATTGCTTATCTTTTGACAGATACGCGTATTTCGTCTACTACTTGCAGACTTCATCAGTGCCAAGTACTCAACACCACTGGTACTGGCACTGATGAAGTCTGCAAGTAGTAGACGAAATACGCGTATCTGTCAAAAGATAAGCAATTATAACGGAATTTAAAGGAAATAAACCAACCCACTCAAAGCTCTTCATAAAGGGATTCCGTTAAGAGGTTCGACAAATTTAAAGGATTCTTCAAATGTTGCTGTATTCGTTAATATCGGAAACGCAAATAGTGACGTCATTGTAGGGAACGATGTTCGTTAAATTTACCACGTAGTCTGGGGTGAGAGTAAATCGTTTTTTCAATGTTAATACAATTTTTATTAAGATGGAAAAGATCGAATTTTTTCGATCTTTTCGTAGACAAATAATCGATCCAAAAAATCGTAAATCGGGATGAAAAAGATCGATCTTCCATTCGGAATCAATTCAACTTCGGATTCGACTGGATCACAACAGGTCTTCTCCTGAGACAAAGCTTTACCATGCAGCTCCATAAACTTCACATCACGGCTCACTGTGACTCTTTCCGTATTCAGATCCACGAACCGATAGCTTTTATGCTGCTCCGAGTACCCGATAAAAATGAGCTTCTGTGCCTTACTGTCGAACTTCTTACGCTTCACATCGGGGATGCGCACCCACGCCTTGCATACACTCTCAGATGATCCAAGTTGGGTTTCCGCCCGAACTATTTTTCGTACGGGGTGACGTCCACTGAGCGCGAAGGAAGTCGATTCTGCAAGTATGCAGCTGTTAACGTCGCCTCGCCCCAGTACTTTTTATCCAGCCCCGCATCCAGGAGCATCGTCCACGCTATTTCCTGCAGATATCTGTTGTGTCGTTCGGCTACGCCGTTCTGTTGAGGCGTATACGCTGTGGTAAAATGCGCATGAATCCCTTCCTGTGAGAAGAAACCCCGCAGCTTATAGTTCGAATACTATCCCCCCCCCACCACCAGATCGAATCACTCATGGCTTCCTTCCGAACAGATTTTCCACGTATCGGACATACTCTATAATTTTGCTTGCAGCTTCCGATTTCTTCGACAGCAAGTACACGACACAATATCGACTGTAGTCGTCAATTAGCGTCAATCATGAGGAACCTGTTCCCTCCCAAATTGCTGTGCTCGACAGTTTTCCCTCCAAACATGCTTCACTCGTAAGACGAATAAAACAATCCTTCACTTCAAACCCAACCGCAAGTTTTTCTCTGGCAATTTTGTCTACAACCATAGGGTTCCTATGACCGAATCTACGGTGTCACTGATGTTGGCACAAATCATTGTGTTGGTGTCCTGCAGCTTCAGCATTCAAAACCGCCTCAATGCGGTCAGTTTCGTCACAGAAAGCAGTCCACAATTCAACGATGGCAAGTAGACAACATCCGTGAGCGTAATCTCTACAGTACCACTAGATCCTTCAACACCGTACACCTTTCCTTCACCGCAACCAGCCGATTTCACAGCAGCTCCATCTGCAAGGAACACATCAGGAGCGCTTGGCTTGCCGATCGTTGAGAAAAACTAGCTACTAGCTCCACTGTTGACAATCCAATTGCTCCGTCGGTTCAAACCGACCTAAACAACACCGCACTGGTTACCTGTTTCGCTTTCGGGGGCTCATTCTTCCTATCATCACTTCTGTCCTGCTTCTGGTTCGCCTGGAACAATCGGCAGTTACGTCGAAAGTGCCCTTTCTTTTTACAGAAGAAGCACGTCTTCTGTGAAACAGCAGTGGCATTCGATTTTAAACCAGTTTTCATGGCCTTGGCCGAGGGGGGCGACACATCTAAATCTCAAGTTTAGATGGTCAACAAATCTCACACTAGCGAATCAATCTTCGAACAATCTTCTTTCATTTGTCGCATCTACTTGCATCGCTCATCAATTTTTTGCAGGAAATCTTCAGAATCGTCATCAATCTTCTTTCTATCTACTCAGTGTGCGCGCAGCTAGCCACAGCAAAACACAATCTTTTTTGCATCGTAGATAGAGTCGTCCCCCTCGGCCTTGGCTTGGTTTCACTCGAAGATCCACCGGATCGATCCTTACGCCGTTCACGGGGTTGGTCGTCTTCGCTTTTCTTCCGCTGCCAGCTCGCCACTGGGTCGTCTGAGTCTCTTTGAACGATTTTACCACACGGGACACGGTCAAATAGTCGATTCCAAACTGTTTCGCGATCCACCTGTGGGACTGGCCTGGATTTTCCACGACCGCTCCCATATTTTTTTGTCAAAGCACTTCTTGCTTAGAAGCCATCTTGATAACCACTAGACAGATTGCGACGAGATTTTGCACATGTAAACATTACAGTCTAAACTAGTTTTAATCAAAATTTCATCAATTTTTATGCAATAAAAACTTACACACAAAAGAAAGTGTTGCATTTTTTCGAGTACAATATTTGCTTTATATTTTTCATAGAAAAGTATAGTAACAATATGCTTTGAATTCATAAAAAGGCTAACATTGTGCGTGGCAGGTTAATTTCTCAAAAAGGGATTATACCATCTGTTTTCTGTTTATGGCCGTACGACTGTGCCCATTGATTTAACACACGGTGGCTCTTTATCCAGGATTCGCTCCTCAAGCCGCTGCCATAAAATACTATCAAAGTTACACACATGTGTATAATCCTTATGGGTGGAGTTGCATCGCGCTTATGAGCGGCGCGCTTCGACCGTAACCAAATGAGAATTTAACATAAGCACGACAATATTTTCATACATGCATTAGGGGAAACAGTCCTATTGAAGTGAAACGTTAGGAGCCAATTGTTGTGTATAGAGACCTCCATACACAACAATAGGCTAACACTTTCTAACGTACCTCAATAATAGGACTGTTTCCCCTATGCATATTTTCACTTTTTTATGACGATTAAACTGTAATAGATAAATTATGGTTTCATTAAATCAACTCACCTCAGCCGACTCCATCGATGCCGGTTCGTCAACTCTGAGTTGAAGCGTTTTCGAAGGATTTCGTGTAGCATCTGCCAATTGTTGTTCATTCAGCTGGTGCTCGTTGAACATAGTCCAAGATGGGTCACTTCTGCCAAATCGAAGTCGTAATTGGGGCGCTCGGATTGCCTTCTGTTGCATAACATCATTGGAGGAAAACTGATGAATAGATGGGAGAGGGGAATGGAATGTGCAACATTGTATTTATATCGTTAGCTTGCTAGTAAGGTATATAGATACTATGCATGCTTACCATTCCTCCTGAGCGACCCCACCGAAGTCGTTGCGAGGGAGCACGTTTCTCCTCCAGTAGTGCATTTTCATTGAAAGATGTCCACAATGGGTCACCCCGGCCAAACCGTAACCGAAGCTGTGGAGCTCTGATGGGCCTTTGATCAACCATTTCGTCATCCTGTAAAATATTAAATTGAAAATAGTTTATTATACTTCGGTCCTTATTACTTTTTATAACTCTGTGCTATAGACGGTCTATACTTTTGGGAGCTTAAACTAGCAGTATACACAAATCAAGCGCAGGTGTAAACTATGAGTTCACGCATGGCATAGATGACCGACCCGCAGCGACTCACGAAGAGCTACTGATTCCGCTCCAAAGCATTAGCGGTGCAGCTTCTTCCTCCTTTGATGGTTGCTTATGTGGGCTCTGCAGCTCGCTGCTTGCAGGCAGCCTTTCGTTGTTACTGGAAAACAATTTTCATCGCCGAAAGCACTGCTACTGCTGCTACTAATTTCGAGGACCGAACACCACGACACAGTGGTGTGGTCGTTAGGAGGTGGGGTTCTGAGTATGGCGATAAGTTTGCAAATTATTACGCAATTCCATCCTCCCTATTCGCACGCGCCTGAGGATCGGAGCCGAATGCCACTTCGACTTGTTTCGTCTACTTGCTACTCTCTGACGACTGTGCTGGGGAAGCAGCATATGCATGTAGGTAATTGGTGGATTTGTTAGTTAATTCGACGCTTTTGGACAATGCTGAACATTTACCAGTTTTCATTAGTTTCTTTCCATAGCCATATTTCTGATCGATTGGTGATAAAATTATTGAAATTGGACCAGGGGCAGCTGAGTTATTGACGTTCAAAATCTTTCTTAATTTGTTACATGTTCCATTTTCGGTTTTCACAAAGTGTACCCCCATATAGAAATCAAAGACGTAGTCCAACGTCAAAAAAAAAAAAAAAAATCTGAGTTGGACGTTCGCATTTATTTGTTCCAAGATTCTGCCCTGTAAGTGTCCGCGATGAGAAGTTGAGAACTTTTGAGAACACAATGAGTGTAAATGTTCATACAAGGCGCTCGTATAGGCCTTGATTTGTGCTAAGATCTACCCAACCAACAATGTTCGCAACGTAAACGCTTTGCTCATTTCATTTATATACAGCCAGAGTTGCAACCGATCACAATCACGGTCGTCAAACAGCTGATGGTAGTAACATAGAGGTAACTCTAAGACCAGAAGGTCCCGAAGAAACGTGCTCAACTTTTTGGCTCAGCTCTGGTACTATCTTCGGTCCCAAGCTAATCGATGCACCCCTCGAAACATAGAAAAATCCACGAGCCCCTCATTTTATCTGTCAAACTTTCATAGCGAATCAAAACAAACATAGTGCAGTACTAGAATTTCGACTTGAATGTAAAATCAAGCAAGGTATCACCTGAGAGGTGGAAGCGACTGCACCATTCAATACCATTCTCGATTACTTTTTGAAAGGGCCATATCTCTTTGTGTAAACAAAGATTCAAACGTCAATTTTTCAAAACTAACACCACCCTCACAAAGGGTCATGTTTCGCCAACAAGATAGTGTTGTTAGTTTGCATGGGAGTGCCAATTTAGTGAATCTTTATTTACAAAAGCAGATACGTCCCTTTCAAAAAGTAATTGAAAGTAAAACGGACTCTCAAAATCCCGAAAGTGATAATCCTCAACATTGACTACCAAAGGATGATGACGAGGAATCTTTACCAGTGGATAAGCATACATTCAGGTTGTCAGAGTGAAAAACGAGAAATTAAATGCCAAATCAGGTCAAACCGTTTAAATGCCAAATCAGTTCAAAAATGGGGCTAAAATGCCAAATCAGGTCAAAAACGGCCTTAAACGCTCAAAACTGGTCTCAAAACACAAATTTAGTCACATAGATGATTGATTGGTATAACATAAAATACATAACATTAAAAACACTAAGTAGCCTAAACGAGCTAAACGACGTTAAAAAACATAAAAATGGCATAACAATGCCAATATAAAATAACATTAAAATATCGTTAAATTGATCTAAACACGCTGATATAAAATTTAAAACCGCTAAAATAGCTGCAAAACGCTAAAATGGCCATCAACCCCCAAAATAATCTTTAAATGACCAAAATGATCTATAAATTTACAAAAAGGTCCATTAACACCAAATTGTCTTGTTCCTGCAGCCCATCTAAGGAAATCCCGTGAGCGACTGGTAGGTCGCTAACCGTATATTAAGAATCGCTTAAACAAATCCTTCTTTAGATTAGGACTTCTGTAATAATATCTGACAGAGGAATGTCAATGCGAAAGATTCGAATCACTAGGAAAAAGTTGGAAAGATTGTCTCAATTTTTTTTTTGTCTTTTGTATGTACGCATATTCTCACCTCTGGTTCCACCGGCATTGAAGGATCACTACGCCGTCCAAATCGTAACCGCAATGATGGTGAGCGGACGGCCTTTCGTTTTATCTGATGATCCGCGTATGACACTGGAGCCGCGTACTCTCGTTGCAGGAGGTATTCGTATAATCCCTTTATGGAACCTGTTTGAAAGAGGTGGAGAAAATGAAAAGTTGAAAATTACTTTTTGTTCATTCGTTTTTATTTTGCTAAATAGGTATTCTGTACACGCACATTACACAAAATATTTCGGAGTGAGCCATTTCCACGCTGAACAGGACGTGAGTAAACAGTATTTAATAACGCTTCTATACTCGCTGGAATTAAACTCCGGATGAAGATATGGACCCACAGGTGCTTGGTTTATCGTTTATCATTTGTGTCTTTCATTGTTCAACTTTCGAGACGAGAGACTATTGAGCAGTGGGGTAAATAAACTAGATAAGAAGAAGAAAAAACAATCCTCTTTTTGATACTCTTAGTGCGACTGCAACAGCTAGGCAGCACCGTATTCGGTGCCGGTGGCGAGGGTTGAAAAAAAAAATCATGAGGGCAGAAACATTACTTGGATTTGGATTTTACATAACTATATACAGGTTTTTTTTTACCTAAGGACAAGATTGATGGAATCCTTCCACTTCGCGTTTTCAGGGGCACGGGGGCAAAACTTAACATCCAGAAGTCGTTTCGACCTGAAAATTAAACTCGGTGCTAGCTTCTCTATAATTTACATCTACCAACTTAATCAGGATTTTAAATATAAAATTACACGTTTAACAATCTCGAATTTAATTAATTAAAGACAAAATTTACAAGTCTATGTAAATTTATATATTAGTATCACTTAGACTGTGTTCCATTTAGTTAAATTTAATTTTAAACTGAAATTAAAATTTTCGAAAATCCCTCTGTTGCCGATTTTCGACTAGGTGTTTGTCAAAATCAATTCCTTGTGTATCAGAAATATACGGTTATTTGAAAATGTCCCATCTGTCAAATTGAAGGGAAAATTCACCATACCTTAAAAACTGAACAACTCATACGCAACATCCAGAAAATAAATGGCGCAAAACTGAGAATCCACCACCTAATAAAACACTCTAAGTACGGCGCTGCATCTAGGTGGACTTTCTCCTGTTACAAAACCCAATTTTACGAGACAATCTCGACGTGAGCTGTAGGTGATTGTGGATGAGATTGTTTTTACAGAGAAGAAACATTCAGCGTAAACCAATCATCCTGTAACCTGGAAGGCCTAAATTTTATTATACTCATGAAATGCTATCAATTTTCGGGACAAGGGGGACCGTAGACCAGTTTGCACTTTCAGATATCACTGTGTTTGTAGGAAATCTGACCCTTTCTCAATGAATGCGCTATACTTCGTCGTGGGGACTTGATGTGATTAAAGCTGTTATCACGTGTTTCCGAACTTGGTAGGTGGTCGATGGGTGAACTGCGAAAACGCAACACGTGATAGCTATCAGCTGTGATTCAATTTTCACCTCGTTTTTGTTTTGTTTCTTCCGTTATTTCTCCAGAAGACAGCAAAGACCATAGGGTGGAGTACGGCTTCAGACTCCTCCCCCAGACCGTATTGCAAGCACGGGGTTTTCCTTTCTAAAGAAAATTAATCAGAAATCTATCCAAAAGATGCTCTATGATGTGAAGCATCATACTGCAAAAAATGAGTGTTGTAAATTATTGTTTACCCCATGCTTGGAATAGGCACCCAAATTGACCTTTGCTTTTAAATAAAGAAGGTATTGATCTACTCACGTTTATTGCGATAATAAAGTTATAATAAGCTAGGACTGGATTTTGAGAAAGGGGGCGACTTCGGCGTAGTGGTTAAGGGGGGACTGTAGACCATGATTTAGACTTTATTTCCATTTCGTCAAGCCAGTGTAGACTACATACAATGATTATTACAATGTTTACTTACATACTATGCATTAATTCTATTCTGTTTTAGCTTAGTTTGTATTTGCTGCTTGGACATAGTGATGTCAATAGTTCCGCAATGCAAATTATATAGGCGCATCATTCGATTGATTGGGCTATTTTTTGCATAGTTTGTTCTGTACGATGTTTCTGAAAATAAATTCCGTGTTCTAAGATATCGACAAGGTGTGTAAAAATTTAATTGTGCGAGAATTTCTGCCGAATCTATGCGCATTGAAATAATGTCGTTGATGAAGAAAAGCATTGCAAATTGGCGGCGCTCCTTAAGTGTTTGTATATTGATGAGCATGCAGCGCGCTTCATAAGATGGTAATGGAAATGCAGTCCAATTCAATTTACGTAAAGCATATAAAAGGAATTGTTTTTGGACAGATTCTATGCGTTCTTCGTGTATGGAAATGTATGGATTCCATACTAGGTGGCAGTATTCCAGAATTGGCCTTACATATGTGGTATATAATAGCTTAATAGTGTATGGGTCTTCGAAATTATGACTGAACCTTTTGATGAAGCCTAGCATTCTGTTTGCTTTACTAATGATAGTATTATAATGTTCTATAAAAGTTAGTTTGGAGTCTAGGATTACACCTAGATCTCTTACAATTTTGCTTTTTTCTACTATTTGGTTGCCTAATGATATTTCAATATGCGGTGTTTCAATTTTTCTGCTAAATGCTATTGCAGTACATTTTTTTACGTTCAGTTTAAGTAGACTTTTACTACACCAGGTGTGGAATATATTGATTTCATTCTGGAATTCTTCTGCATCGCTAGAATTACTTATTTCCATAAAGAGCTTCATGTCGTCTGCATATACAAGCAATTTTATTTTTTTAAGTATGGAGGAAATGTCGTTTATGTACAAAATAAAAAGAAGTGGGCCTAAATGAGAACCCTGGGGTACCCCAGAGGTGACTGAAATTGGTTCTGAAAGTTTATTTTGAAAGCGAACTATTTGTTTACGATGTGTTAGGTAGGATTGAAGCCAATTCAAAAGTCCAGGCTCCATTCCTATTTTCTGCAATTTGAGGATTAATAATGGTATGTCGATGCGGTCAAATGCTTTACTGAAGTCGGTGTATAGCGCTTCAACGTGCTTGCCACTGTCCAACGCTTTAATAATGAAAGATACATATTCTAGAAGATTAGAGGTAGTTGAGCGACCTTTAAAAAAGCCGTGCTGTTTACTTGTAATTAGATTTTTCACCTGCTGAAAAATATTGCCGTTTACGATTGATTCAAAAAGTTTTGGAATGCAAGAAATAATAGCAATTCCACGATAATTTCGAATGTCTGATTTTGCACCTGATTTGAAAATAGGTACCAAATAAGATGATTTCCAAATTTCAGGGAATTTTCCATTTTTCAGAGACATGTTGAAAAGACGCTCTAGAGGAAATGCGAGTTCTTCAGAAAGGTTTTTCAAAAATATGGGTGCGATGCCGTCAGGTCCAGACCCTTTCGACGCGTTTAAGTTTTTTAGTGCATTGAGGACTTCATGTTGAGAAAGTTGGTTGACAGAGATGTTTTTAGAAATTTCAGGAATGAATGCAAAGAAATCGCGGTCACGATCTTCTTCGGAAAATGTGGTGTATACTTCTTGGAAGAAATTTGCAAAGAGACTGCAAATTTCAGAAGAATTCTCGCCTACATTTGCATCCAAATTCATTCGCGAAGGAAAATTGCTGCTTTTTAATTTCGTGTTTACATAATTAAAAAAGTTCTTAGGACATGATTTGACTTCATTTTCGACTTTGCGGTTATAGTCCTCATATGCAGAGTTGGTGGCTGTATTTAATTGGTTGCATAAGTTGTGATAGTTTCGCAAATTGGTTTCAGTTTTTTCTTTTTTGTATAGTTTATGAGCTTTCTGTTTTTTATTCTTCAAATTTTTCAGTTTTGGATTGAACCATGCGGGTAGTTTATTGTTTTGTGTTCGTCTTCTTTTTTTTGATGGTACAGTTTCTAAGATTAGGTTTTGTAGAATTAAGTGAAATTTTTCTACTTCAGTATCGACATTTCCTTCAATACTTATTAAGTTTTGCCAATTTATTGTACATAGTCTACGTTTGGCTTCTTCGTAATTTGCTTTATGGTATTCCGGCACTTCCTCGTATTCCCAGTCGCTGGAGGAGGAAGAATTTTGTACGAAGATTGAGTATTCAATTGCTGTGTGAAACACTTCATTTTTCCATAAAGGTGCTAATGATGTATCCACACAGAAGTCTTCAGTACAATTTGTAAATAAAAGGTCTAAATATGAGTTTTGTTGATTTTTTACATGGTTTATTTGATTAAGACCAAAATAAGATATTTTTTCGAATAATAATTGTAATGCTTCGTCTTCACCTACGACCGGGAGTAAAAATGATTCATTTTCAATGTCTGTAATAAAGTCTGCGTTTCGTTGATTGAAGTCGCCATAAATATGCAGTTTTACTTCTGGTTCCATATTTGACATTATAGTTTCAACAATTTGAAAAAATTGTTAGCATCCATACCTCTCACGCGAAAGTCACGAGTTCAAATCTCACCCCCGGACAAGTCACGAATGACCCAAGAGTGTTAAAGTGACTATAATAAAAAGAAGGAATCGGGAAGAAATACTTTTTACACCTTAATGTTTCCCAAAATTATGAAATAATAAAATGTCTAATGGTAAATTTTTTGAGCTACAAGAAGAGTTTGCCGTGCATGTGTTTGACACATGTAAGTTTAGTAATTAGTGAGTAAAAAATGATGAAATCGCTGATTGCGACTGTCAGGAAGAACAATTTATAGGTTATATGTGTCAAACACATTTTTTGCAACCTACTTTGAAAAAAAAAAATGATCATAACATCTCATGATTGCATAATTTCAAAAATCATTTGTTTATGCAAAATAAGTATTTGAAATCTTGATTGAATCTGTGGTTTTCAATTTTCTTCATATCATGTTCGAATAACTTTCTTCCTCTAATTTACGTGAATAGCCTACGAGGACAAAACATATTAGTAAAGCGACGTAGTATGTTACCAATGACAAGTGAAGTCAAATCTCGTGCGTCAGTTAATTTGCCTTGCAAAATTCAAATTAGCCTAGTCAGTAAAGGCACGATATTACCAAGCCGGAGGCGGCGGGTTCGATTCCCGGTCCGGTCGAGGGAATCTTTCGGGTTGGAAATTTTCTCGACTTCCCTGGGCATAGCGTATCATTGTGCTTTGCCACACAATATACAAATTCATGCATTGGTATTGGCATCGAAAGCTCTCAATTAATAACTGTGGAAGTGAATTTAGAACACTAAGTTGAGAGCACGCAATAAGCTAATATGCGCTAAGCAATAAGCTTGAAATGCGAATAAGAAGAAGAAGACCGATGAGTTTTCAGGTACAAAAATTCATTGTTTTATATTTTGGTGTTATTCATTGCATCAGTGGATGAAAAACTAACACAACATGCATGGGTATTAGGGTAGGTCAACTTTACAACCCTTTTGCTTCCTACTGCATTTTAAATATTTTTGGAGGTCCCCAATAACTAACGGTGCCGGTGGTGTAGTGGTAAGCGTGATTACCTCTCACCCCAGCAGGCCTGGTTTCAATACCAGTCGACGCCGCCGGGATGTTCTGAGGCATAACATCTCTGATCACGCCTTCCTTCGGATGGGAAGTAAAGCCGTTGGTCCCCGGTTCATGAATTGTGATGGGTCGATAAGTAGGGCCTGGCGTCGGTAGCATTGGTGCTCAGCACGAAAAACAAATCAAGGAGGTCCCCAAAAACTGTACCTAATTTGATTGAATTTGGATATAATCTAGATTTGCGGGAGAACTTTAAAAATACAAAAACCGCTCTATTTTGATAGCATGCATGAGCAAAATAGCCATGTTCAGCTACAAAAAGATTGCCAAACGAGTGTAAATTCTTCTAACCAAGTAACAGTGTTGTTAGACTCGGAACTGACAGCAGTAGAAGGAATGAAGGATACAGTAGTAATCCTATGTATATAGATTCGCGGAAGCGGCCAACAATTCTATTATAAATTGTGAATTGATAACTTTTAAAGATTTTTAAGTTTGGTTAATATTACTGATTGAAACTAAAACTGGACAGCCCCAAACATGCACAAGTGTGATAAATGTGCACGATTCCGTCCAATCGCTTAGGTGTCTTCGCAATATTTTTTCCAACAATATTTCTCGATTCTTTAGAAAAAATACAATTGCGTGTGCACAAAGTGGTACTGGATGTTATAAGTTTTTTATTATAAATGTTAAAAAAAACTGCGCAAACGCATAGAATCCACTAGGGAAAAATCTGACGGTAGTTCGCAATACTCCAGCGTTTTTCGGAAACCGGAAAGAAACTCACATTGTTACACTTCGTTGCACTTCCTCGACCACTGTTGGGGTGAAACTTGGCAATGCACTTCATATTAACTAAAATGTTATTCGAAATTCAAGTCACGGAACATTTGGCTCCGTGGCAAGTGCTGGCAGCTTTTGTAATCAGAACAAATCACGTTGCCAACACAGCCAACAATACCAATTGCCAACACTGCCACACTGAGTTGCAGCCGAACAATTTTCTCTACCGAGAGAGAACCCGATTGAATGTGTAAAAACCGAACGCTAACGATTTAAATAGCCGAGTGATATATTTTTTTTGGCTCAGTGATTCAAATCAGTTGGATTGACACAGCAGTTTTACATTATTTGCATGATGCGTTACAGTTTACAGTATAATACTTTTCTCCGTGTTAATACCAATTGAAATGTGTCAATTTGTGTTTAAAGCTAGAAAATAAAGAGTGATTCTTTCTGAAAAATTCGCACTCACCTAAATCAGCAGAATGCATTCGTAAAAGGCTCAGCATGTACAAAATAATAAGTGAGAAATCATCCACACTACTATACTCAAATAATTCATGTTATATTCGCAGCTGTCTGTTTTGAGGATACGAACGAAATCAGTCCGGCTCGCACAAGATCCTTACTGCTCGTTTCTGATGTTGTATGCGTGTGAGTGAGTAGTAAATGCAAAACTGAAACGATTTTTCCCAGAGACTTGAATTAAGAAAACTATGCAGAACAACTTTGTCAAATCGATTTGACTTCTGTAAAAAAGTTATTCACTTTTTACTTTAAGCCGAATCCTCAGCGCATTCCTATATACCTTATACACGCCTGTACGTATGCGTGGAGGAGTAGGCCAAAAGAAAATATTTAATATCTTTTTGAACAGAATTCGAATCAATAGGTCTATGCAGTCTTGGCCAAAGTTGTTCTTCATCGTTTTTTTTAAATCTTCGCTGCAAGTTTGGTAAAATTTGAGAAATTTTTAAATTGTTGACAAGCAACTGAGAATAGATTTGTTCCGTTTCCCATACATTTTCACATATAAACTTTAAAGCTCTCCCGTAAATTCAGATCGTAACCAGATTCTATCAAATTTGGTAGAGTTGTTGGTGACTTCAATACAGATCCAATGAGCAGTGGAGAGCAGGGATTTGTGACGCTTGTACGGATTTTATGAGTTTTAAGCTGGAATGATTTGATTGTCAGTCCGTGAAAATGCATAAGAATCTCAAGTGTGAGTTTTGTTTGCCACATTCGCACGTGAGTTTATTCTCTCAGGGAGGCTCAATGAATGAGGGTTGAGAATCATTTTCCAAACATTGGTAACTATTCAAGTACTCTATTTATTTATTTTGTCTTTCGTCTGAATGAATTGTTGGATTTTTGATATTAATTATTCGAAAAACTAAACCATGCTGTGATCTGGAATCATAATTTTTTTTATCATTACCATAGTTTTCAAATGCTTATTATATAGCGGGATAAAGTTTAGCATTGTCTATCCTGAGGGTTTATATCTCGTTTTAAAACCGAATTTTAATCCGAGGTCTGGGGGCCAACTGTCATACCATTTGATACAGTTCAACGAGAACGTAAAATGTCTGTATGTGTGTGTGAGTGTCACAACATGTTGAGAAACGTGTTTGTCGGCAACTACTAATCCAAATTGGACGCAACAATCAGAAAACGTAAGGAAACATAGAACGCTATTGATTATCGGGTTCCGGAGATATAGACAGAATATTTTCCACTGAATAGGTGCCTTAAGACTGTAATTGGCATGAAACGTGCCTACCATGACAATTAACAACCCACAATCTGAAGTAAAATAAAGTCTAATCAAATCACATCATCATTAAAATACACGATCATTTGCACTGGGCATGTTCCGAGTGCTCCCTGTCCAAACTCTGCCATAAGACAGAACGTATCGCATGAAATTTCAAACACATGACCACTTATCATTCAGAAATTAATCATATTGTGCAGCAGTTTTAAGGTGACCTTCTACCAGCAATTTCAAGAAAGTGTAGTGATAAATTCCTGGTTTTTATAGCTTAGCATAAGCAAGACCATAGCCCCATAACGGGGGTAGACCAACTTTTCGTGGTACGTTACGGGGATGTAAGATCCACCACCGATTCCTAGTCTTGACTACTTCAAACTAGGGGAACAGGATTTTTCAGTAATCAAAGGAACACATTTTAGTCCTTGTTGATAGTGACAAGACTCGGCTTTGTCCACAGAGGATGATCATTAAACAAGGAAAAAATGAGTTAATTAGTCTTCATCTATGTGATTCCAAATCTTCTATTCGTTGTTCCCTAGTTTGAAGTGGTTAAGACTAGGGTTCTGATGTACGGTAATTATCGGTGTTATTCCTTAATGTTGTTGCTAAGGAATCCAATTTTGACTGACAATGCGAACCTATTTCCTAGAGGTTCTAGAAGATTTTTTACAAATATTATCTCGATGCAAAATTTGAGTGGTAGAAAACGTAATTTTAAACTGCATGATTGATGTGATCCAGTATCTTACTACCCTTCTCTGAATGTTGCATTTTTTTCAGAATTGAAATAAGTGAGAAGGGTAAAATCTCACCGTAGGTGGATTAATACAGTTTTTTTTTTAAATGAACTTACCATCAGCATTTTGTGTCGATTCTGACATGAGGCTGCCTGTCCCCAAAACAAGAAGTAAACTTAACGTCGTGAAGTTTATCCGGCACATATTCTGCAATGAGTGAGATGAAAGAAAGGATAAGGGTCAGACTAATTATACTTTAATAATTGACAGAAGGATTGAAAAAAGCTGCAAAAAATGGACTTCATTTGTCGTTTGCAGTGATGACAGGTGTCAAAATATTTCACTTTTGAATTTTTCATATTTCTTCAACTGTTGGACAATGCATGACATGGAGAAGTTCTCCACGCTAAACACCTGTTTAAGGATATCAAGTGGATCGAAACAAAGGCACGAATGAATCATAAACCAGATAGCTGCATGCTCACTTGGGACTAGGATTATTTTTTATGCTCAATAATTCATTCGTATTATAAATACCCACGGTTGCATCCTATCACGTAGGGTGCTTCGAATCTGTAAACTTTGAAACACCATCGCGTGATGATACCCGTATTTTTTTTTATCCTTGCGACATTTCTACAAGGAAATTATGTCCACGTGTAATCTTCGTCTTAACTCGGTTAGCATTCCGCCATTGATGCAAAATCAACAGGTATCATGTTGTATCGTACATCGATAGCACTATATCGATGTGGGCTCATTTCCTGATAAAACAGTGTCAGAGTCATGCCTTCGACGTGTGGCACACAAACAAATCCTGGTGTGTACTACACCGAACCGAGTGAGAGTGATAACATCAGCATCAGGCATATGGAAATGATGTAAAATCAATAAAATATTAATAACTGAGTATTTAAGCGTGCCACATAGGACCTGTTTCGCCACCTGGTTGTCAGTTATTAGCTTTAGCATCTCGGTCGGTATAGCATCGAAATCAGATGATTGGATACGCTGTGTTTAGCATACCCCCTGTACTATAGACTGTTTATTTCATTCTCGATGAAGCATGAAATGTGGGAAACCATGGGATTTATCTGGGTACAATAATCTGTCGGTTAGGATTAAGACATAATCAAAGAAACACAATGCCACAATGCAGTTTTAACATTCTTTGTATGAAAACGTCATGTCAGTAAACATGCTTTTTTATATTCAATATAACAAGTGATGATTAAATTTCTTGATAAAGGCATCCATTCTTGTCTATACATTTTATTTTAATGAAACTAAATCAAATCTGAGACAACATATTCGTATGATTTTACATTTACAAAACTGAAACATGTTGATATAATGGGCAGTAGAAAATTAACAGCACGTGAACATTTCATTTAGCATTACGAGAATTTTTAAAGTGATGAGCAAATTTTGATTTTTCCAAATCGTGATCTTTTCTAACTTTGGTCAAAAAAATTGATTTATGCCTGATATGTTATGTTGGTTTTCCCATAATGATGATTCTTATTAATCCTGATGTGTGACGTATTTTTTTATTTTTTTTCTTCACGGTCACGATTAATTGTCATGAAACCTTTTGAAAACTCATTTGGAGATATCCACATCCATGCCAATCCTTCTGACATTATGGTGCGTGACCAAAGGATGAAGCGAATAATCCTCATTGAAATCTCTGTACCGTTCAATTGTAACGGAAGATGGTGATTTTATCCGGTGGTTCCTGAATCATCAGGACTGGAACCAACCAAATTAAAACATACTGGGAAATGAGATCCACAGAGCCTAAAGTTTCGAATGGTTGAGAGAAGGAATATCACTTCATAAGCTAAAATCCTTCTCTTGAATGCTCAATTCAATTACAGCCATTAACTACGATGTAAAATAGTAATAAAAATATGAACCTGTCTTAAAAAATAATATACAACTTTTTTATTTTGGTGATAACATGTTCGTAGTGAAAATCTAAAGAAGTTCTACACATTTATTTAGAGTGAGTCAGCTAACTTTTGTCATCCAGTTCGTCATAAGGACAGGATGTGAACGTCAGCATCTTTCATATGGGAACAATTCAAGCAATGTAAAAAATCTCCTGCTGGGTTCCGGTTAATAAATAAAAAAGGATCAAACTTTTTCTAGCGTGAACGTAGCATGATTTTATAGAATTGCGTTTTAGAACGTCAGCAGCATCATAATGTTTCCTCTGATAAAAGGTATAACGCAATGTTCCACGCTACACAAAGATGAGAAACTTTCCAAACCGTAGCATTCGGTGTGGTCTAGTCAGGGTAAAGTATTTCTCATAACGAATGCTATGCCTTCAAATATTTGGGGGAACGTTTACCATTGGTTATTAAAAGTAATTTCAAATTAATTATGTTGCAGAACATTGAAAAGAGCATCGCGTTTTTAGGATAAACTACCTACACCAAAACACCACTCGTTTGTCATCAAAAGTTAAATTCAAATTGCCTAACTGATTTTTCATTGACTCTTTGTTTCCTGAGAATTGCTATTCATTTCTAATTCATTGGATCATTGGTATTTGTTTAAATGATGACTACCACCCCTGACTGAAGGCGTAGAGGGTGAACGGAAAATTGTGTCCAAAACAAAAAGTAGGATGTGGGTAGTGAAAGTCAATAAATAGATACAATGAGGAAAGGTGTGAGTATCGCTTTCCAATTGTTCAGAAAACGTGGTCGCCTGTTCAAGAAGTGAAAACGTGATTTATGGCTGCTAAGCAAGAATACGCTTGACACATTAATTGTAGTCGAATAAATTTGAATTTATAGAGAAACTATTCAGATGTTCATAATGTAGCATAAATGCGTGAATTATTTCTGAGCGCTAATTGGATGATAATGAAGATTGGCTATATTTTATTGACCCCTTGGTAACCTTCGCTTTCGTACTAAGTGTACCATGTATAATCCGCTGGCCAAGTGATGAACCAAGAGCTGGCGCAACTCTATGGCGAACCCAGTATCTATAAAGTTGCTAAAGCTGGAAGGGTACAATGGGTGGGACACGTTGTAAGAATGCTGGTCAACAGTCCCGCAAAAAAAATGTGTTTGCCTTGAATCCGGTCGGTACAAGACACAGAGGAGCCTAGCAAGCTAGGTGGTTAGACCAAGTGGAGCAAGAACTAGGAAGAAAACTGGAGACAAGCAGCCACGAACTTAGTTAGATGGCGCTACATTGTACAGCTGGTATTTCTTGTAAATTTAAGCGCAATATCGCATAATCTAGCAATATTGAATGCAAGTTTGTAAACGTTTGTTGCTTATGCCAACTATAGTTCAAAATTCAACGAGGGGAGATTTTACGCGATAGTTAAAATTCAGAATTTTTTTCTGTGCATGAGCCCCTGGGTCTGCTTCTGCAGCGATAGCCTACTGGGTTGAAATCCAGCACTTGCTGGGAAATTCCATGTAGCTGACCCACCTATACTATCATTCTCTGATTCATGTTGATATATGCTTCTGATGCCATTGAAGATGGAGCCTGGCGTTCGAGATCCAGTTGTGAGGCCACCAGGCACACATTATATACCACAGGCATTGGTTAATGAAGACTAGCTGCTTTTAAATATTCTTTGCTGATACGCACCATGTTTCGCTGTGTGTGTTACCTCAAGAAAAGCCCATAGAAATTCATGCTGCTCTTTTCCTATAGATCTTTTTTTTCAAAGGCTTGGTTAATTTTTCAAATTTGTCACAATTACAAGAGCTTGGACTTTCTTTACTAGCCCCTTGGCCTCTGAAGTTTAACATCCATGAAATGACATTCTAAATTTTTAAACGATAAAACTTTGAAAGGATCTGGCCTAAAGCTTGAACTGAATTATCGTTTTTAAAAGACACATCAAAATAATTTTAACGGCTTTAAAATTCATTATGATTGGTTAATCTTGAGCAGTACAGTTTGTTCGATTTATGATTTCCTTAATTGTTCAAGATCATGCGCGAGTTTTCTAGTTTTTGTTTCAGTTAGTTTTTCTTTCGCTTTGTTGAGACACAGCTAATCTTTCATATACCTATTTTTTGTAGGTTTCTACGATTGTTTCTTTTCATTTATATTATTGTGAACTCGCTATTATAATATTATAATACGAACAAAACAATAATTAAGAAGTTTTTCTTAAAAACACCTTTGAACCGATGAATTTGAACAGTAAAAAAAATGTTGAACGTCATTTAGTTTAAGAATGTATTTGTATTTTTTTTGTTTTTCTTCATTGAGGGGATATTTCATTTATATCACAGTTCCGCGTTGGGCTGGCTCATCGGAACCAGCCCAGAATTAGCTCACGTATCGCTACATACCATGTCAATTTATAATTTGTACATAGTGCTGTTAACTCTAAATATACGAAGACGCACATGAGACAAATCTAGATAGAGCTGGAATTAGGGCGTAGCAGCTTTTGTAAACAACGACTTCTCTCGATGATTTCTAGGATTTCGAAACAAGTTCACGCAAACCAACATAACCATATGATAGGGGAAGTGTTCCCCTATCCGATGGTGATGTTGCTTTGCGTGGGTGAGCCTTGACTTTCTAGAAATCATCGATAAAAGTCATTGTTTACAAAAGCTGTTACGCCCTAATTCCAGCTCTATCTAGAAATATACGATTCTAGGAGTGTAATTATGCATGCGATGATATGCTCAACTACCAATCTATGCATCGGTTGTACCGAAAGCCTTTGAGAAGTAGAAGTGATAGGTACATACTTACTGCTATCAATCATGTTTCCCAATTAGCGCTCAACAAATGAACTTCCAGTTATACCTCCGAGTAGTAATCGTCTGTATTCATGTGTTGTTCATCTGCCTACACCGATACCTAAATGCTTCTGTATGGCTATGAACGTGCATGCCTAATCTTATCCATTATGAATTGAGCGGTGACTGATTGAGGGTAGGGCGATCAATTTGCTTCTCTCGGTAATCAAAAGGATCGAGTGTCCTTTTAATGATGCCATTTTGTGCGGCAGCTAATTTAATCATTTATATTATTAGGATTTATGATTTGGTGAGCACAACAGACACCCTTGTCGACAATTAAAGATATATTGCCTAAGGGTACTAGGATAAAGGTGAAATGTTCAAAAGTTAATAATTAGTTTAATGACGATTATTTGATTACTGACTAAAATAAGTAATGAACTGTCTCCAGGCTCGCAA